TGCAGACAGGGTGGGTTTGTTGTAGACACCTAGGAGAGATATATGGACTATTCAATGAGTTCACACAGTCTGCATTGTCCCCAGACCTGAGTCATGAGTGGGGATACATTCAGAGCAGATTTTTTCAAAGAGTCACATCTGGAGATTTATATGATTCCTGAGTCTGCACTCACCTGTCACCACCAGCTCCAGAAAGTCACTGTGCTGTGTCCACCCAGCAGAGTCATAACAGTAACAGCGATATCGTCCTGCATTATACTTTGTAATGGATGGGATGATAAACTTGGCCTTGTGATCAGGCACTGGTGCAGTTAATCTGCTCCAGGGTGCTGGGCTTCCTTCTTTATACAGGAAATATATTTGAGTTTCCATGGTTCCCTCACACCAAATTGTCACAGGATTCCCTGAGGTGATCACAGAGCCTGGCTCAGCCCACATTCTGGGTTTCTGGAGGGTTCCTGAAAACAAGTAGGTGGGAGGAATATGGGATTTTACCAGTTGCATGGTGAATATGAAACTTGTAGTTCACACTTGTATAACAGAAGAACACATGGGACCATGTGAACATCAGTCTCTCTGCCGACCCTGCCAGGTTCCCTTCTCAGAACACCCCTCAGTGCTTTCTGTATACTGACTCCCATAATCTGCATGCTGTATTGTGGACTCAGAAACATGTTCTTTCCTTTGTTCATCATACATTAGGGTCTCCTTTGGAAATCTGTTTCAGGTTCAGTGTCATTCAATAGAGAGAATGAGACTTTCTCACCTGAGATTAGAAGCTCCAGGATGTCACTGCCTTCTGACCACACTTGAGGCTCTCCTGAGTAATAGCCATAGCATTTGAAACTCCATCTTTCACTGAGTGTGGTGGGACTCACTTGGAATCTGGCTGAAGACCGACCAGTATATACATATTGTGAGTCCATGGAGCTGTAGAAGTGCTCGTTCTTAATTAAAATGAACCCATCATATCTCTGATTTGAGGTACATGAGAGGGCCACAGATCCTCCTAAGGTTACAACAGGGTATGGCAGTGCATACAAGGTGGGTTTGGTGTAGACACCTAGGAGAGATATATGTGGAATATTAAATGGGTTCATGCAGTCTGGATTATCCCCTAGACCTGAGCAATGAGTGGGAATACATTCCGAGAAGACTTTTCTAAAGGGTCACATTTGGGATTTCATATGATTCCTGAGTCTCCACTCACCTGTCACCACCAGCTCCAGGGGGTCACTGTGTTCTGATGTGCCATCAGGGCTTTTATAATAACACCAGTACTGGCCTGCATCATGACTTTTAATGGATGAGATAAAGATCTTGTCCTTTTTTTCAGTGTTTTCATGAGCTGTTGGTACGTGGGGATCTGGGTTACCTTCTTTATAGAAATGGTATTCCTGGGCATCTAAGGGGCCTTCACAAAGTAGAGTTACCTGCTTCCCAATGGTTACCACATTCCTTGGCACAGCTCCGATTGTGGGTTTAGAGAGGACCCCTGAAAACAAAACAAAACAAAAGAAAAACAAAAAACAAAACAAACTAAAGCAAAGAAAACAACAGCAACAAAAAATGGGAGCTGGGTCAGAGGACATCCTGCTTCATTCTAAGCTCTCAATCTCAGGAACTTGTAGTCAACACCAGTAACGGCCCACACCTGTTCTTCTCTATCTGTTTTCTTCAGAGTTAACTTTTGATTCCCACTGATAGTGTACACCCTAGAAAAAAGCGGAGGACACTTACCTGCCAGCACTGGGTTCCTGGAGCCCAGACTCAGTCCTGCAAGAGAGTTACCTGTGAGTGTATGTACTTGAAGCTTGAGCAGGATTCCACTTCTAGATCCCTTCTGAGCTACTGAGATACCCTGATGGATTACTGCTCAACTATGATGTTGACTACTTCTCAGAACAGAATTCTCTCTCCACAACTTCATTTCTCACCAAGACAAAGCAGAACTGTGAGGGTGGGGATCATAGCCTCTTCTAGTTGCCAAAAGTTTCCAGATGGTTCGTCCTCTTGCCAAAAATCAGACACAAAGTATATTGCCTGCTCAGTATGGTGTCTCCTTTTCATGAGTATGTTATACAGGCAGTCTTTGCAAAAAAAAAAAAAGGAACAGCTCTTTCTAGGCAAGTGGCTTTTGTTTTCCCACTGCTGTGATGGGTGGACCTGCAAAACATGTGGTCTCTGTTCCTGTGGGTTTCTTTGGTTTTGGTTTCTGACACAAAGCCTCCTGAAATCGGGCAGGTCTGAATATCCTCCCCTTTCTCAGTCAGCTTCCTGTGAGATTGGTTTACAAACCCTTATCTGATTGTGGTCTCTTCTTTCAGAGCATCTCCCATATACCCTTCTATATTTGCTTGCATGGTCCTCTTCACCAAAGATGCAGTGGGGAGAAGCTTTGTCCTTCCTCAATTGAATACATCAGGCTTTGCTGATTCTGCCTGGGTACTTTAAACTTTGGAGGAGGGGATGGGGTTGGTCATACGGGGAGTTTGGGGGATCATGGAAGGATGAGGGGGTGCCTTTCATTGTAAATTAAAATGAATAAAAATAATTTTTAAATAGAAACAGTAAAGCTATTGAATGCCTTGTGTGGCTTTAATGGGCTATATAGTAGGAATATTGAAGACAGTGGTGCTGAGGGTGATATAGATTCTGGGGGCCTGGCTAAAGCAGATTCATAGAAGAAATTTAGTGTTTTGCCTAGAGATCATTTTGTGATATTTAGGTGGCTATATAAAAGTATGGGGTTGCTTTTGGCCCTTATCTAAAGAGTATGCCTGGGGCAAAAGTGAAGAGATTTGGATTAATTCCACAAAGGATGTTTCCAAACAGCCTAGCATTGACTCTGTCATGTGATTATTAGTTGTCATTCTTATAAATAGCTATAATGAAAAAACAGCGAGATGTATAAGGATATATTACAAAATGTACAATTTGAAGAGAAAATGGGTACCAGGAAGTAGAATGGAGTTAAATCCTGATTTCACAGAGATAAACAAATTAAAGAAAAGTAGAATGTTAAATAGAAAAATAGGAAATAGTGAACTCATGGCAAGATAATACCAACCTAAGCTTCTATTTTGTGAAAGTGAACTAAAAAACAGCTTTTGTTGAGGCATGGTGGCACACAACTTGAATCCCAGCAGTCCAGAGAAAGAGGCATGCAGTTCTCTGAGTTCAAGACCAATCTGGTCTACAGTGCAAGTTCCAGGACATCAAGCATAGGCAGTGAGGAAAAGCACTGAAAACAGAAAGGTATTGAGGATGTAATTAAATGAGGGGGCCATGTTCCAGCCTTATCAAGCAGCATAATTTGTAAATTTGGTCATGGGGACCTAAATTCAGAGTCAAAGAAAGAAGAAAAGGGGTTATGGAATCTTCCTCCATTCTGAGGAATGCCCCTTTGGCCAGGCATTTGTGAAGGGTGTCCATGTATAGAGGCCCAGAAAGACCATAATGTGAAGCTCTGAAGGCAAAGCTTGGGTTGCCTTTGAGACGCCAAGATGTTAGAGATGCTGGAGCCTTGGTATACCTACCAAGGCAAGCTCCGAACAGGGAAGGCAGCCAGCTCAATAGAAAAAAATCTGTTGCAGGTAACAAGGGTGGAAAAAAAGTTAGGAATCAGAAAATTTCTTGACATCACCCATGAAGATACAGATTTTAGAGTGTGCCCAGCTTGTTTTTGGTCTTGCCTTGGTCCAGTATTGTCTTAATATGCTCACTTTCCTCATTTATGGGGCTGTAATTTATATTCTATTCCATTATAGGTTGGAATGATGTGATCTAATTATTTATTGTAATTTGATAGATTATTACAGTTTAGAAAATCCCATAAGTCTCAGAAGAGACTTAGGACTCTTATATGCTATGTAGACTTTTGAAATTGGATGAAATACATTTTTCATTATAGTATAGTTACAAGCCTTTGGGAAACAGAAAGTGGACTGTGGTAGTTTGAATGTAATTGGTTCCCATAGGCTCATAGTGAGGGGCAATGTTAGGTGGTTGCCTTGCATATGCCTTGCATAGCATAGCAGGTGTGGCATTATTATAGGGAGTATGTCTCAGTTCACTTCCTGCTGCTGCAGATCAAGATGAAGTATGTTCAGCTCCTCTCCAGAGCCATGTTTCTCTGTGTGCTGCCATACTTTCCCACCAAGATGATAAAAGACTAAACTTCTGAGTTGTAAGTTAGCCCTTATTAAATGGTTTTCTTCATCTGAGTTAACCATGGTCCTGGTGTCTCTCCACAGCAATAAAATACTATCTAGTACATGTATGGAAA